GTAGCCTATCCAGTTGAAGCCACTAGATTGTAGATAGCCGCTGCTGTGTTGTTCATTAAAAATATTGCGGAAAAAGAGAACATCAATGCGGAGAAGATCTTGTTTACATCAAAACTTTCTCGAGACTTTATGGCGGGTTATTTCCCCATCCCACTGCATCTCGTGTTTATAAATGAAAAATGTACTCTACCTTTGTATTAAACTATGCATACATACATGATGCTGTTTTGTTTATAGTTGTTTAAGCAACTTAATTAATTATAATTAGTTTATAAACATTATGCACTTTTTTCACAGATAGTCATTATCTTATGGTTTGAATAAACGTGCATTAGTAATATTTTGCTCGATGCGCCCTCTTGTGGCCTCAGAAGAGAAGCCAAAAGCTATTCTTCACCATAACTGAAATCATGCATTTTAAATTTGAATATAATTCGAATTTTGATAATATTTCAGTTCAAAATTCGAATTTAGTTTTTCAGCCATTTTGACAGCCCTATTATGCTCATTTATTTTTAACCAAATGTTCCATACTGCAGCTTTAAGAATGTTTAGAATATTTACCACCCAGGTTGATGGGAACTTATAAAACATACTTTTACATTAGGTACATTTTTACATAAGTGTCAAAGTCTAAATTAATTAAAAATTATTTTAATAATACTAATAATAATAATAATAATAAACAAAAAATAAAACATTTAAGAAGTGATCCAATGTTTTTGAGATGCGCTCATAGCTTCAGACGCAGGTCCTGTATGCCACCAGCAGCACCTGGCATTTACACTCCAGTGCAGTCGGCACACATTCTGGGTTTGGGCCCAGTCACTTAAACCCTACCAGCCTGTCCACAGGCTCTTCTCACTAGGGAGGATGGGCTGGTCACAACGTGTTTGAGATGCTGGTGTCAGTCCTAAAGGCATGCGCACACGCTTGGACAAACATATATGAGGACACACATTGTGTGGAGAACCTTGTAAAATTACTTTATCCAGCTATACAAAAATGGTTTCTTTGAAAGAAAAAAATATATAATAATAAAAAACTATATATATTTGTGTGTGTGTGTGTGTGTTATTGTTATTATTATTGTTATAACGTGTTTTTGCTAGACAGCAATGATATTAAATCAGAAATTAAATCAGAGCAAATGGAGACCTTTACTAAAGTTTCCAGCTCCCGTTACATGTTTCACCTAAGAAAAAGGTTGTAGTAATCTCATGTGTGTCTCTTCTACAACCATATATACAAAAATATGCCAAAATCTCTGCAAACTGTTACAAATTGCAGAAGCAACACCATATTCACATTTAGCAAGTCTCAAGTGTAAAAAGTAAATGTTTTAGAGCAGGGCTGTCCAAACTCGGTCCTGGAGGGCCGGTGTCCTGCAGAGTTTAGCTCCAACCCTAATTAAACACACCTGAACCAGCTAATCAAGCTCTTACTAAGCATAGAAACTTCCAGTCAGGTGTGTTGAGGCAAGTTGGAGCTAAACTCTGCAGGTCACCGGCCCTCCAGGACCGAGTTTGGACAACCCTGTTTTAGAGTCTCTTTTCTGCAAAGTGTACATTTAAATTAGGGATACAAATTCTGACCACCATTAAAAATATGACTACTTGGACAATACAATCCTAATCCTAGTCACAAATTAGTGTTCCTAATGGAGTCCTTGAGGAAAATAATTCAGCTTAACCACTGGATACAGCACATTCAGTCTATAATGAGCTCATTTCAATTTGCTGCACTTACATTAGTGCGCTCAGACTCGGCTCCGCGTTGGGAGACGTGGTACACATTGCAGCCTTTCGGTATCCATTAAAATTAGCATATGGACCTGTCAACACATCACGGAAGTGCATTGTAACGATGCCATTTAGCTGCACAGACTGGCCTGCCACTAGAATGAATGTGTGTGGCTGATGAATGCCCTCAGACCTCCAGCGACAGAGAGACATGCTAGGACATATTCTGCCCAATTCCAAATCAGTCTATTTAAGCATTATATATACATGCTTTTTATTAAAAGCAAGCATTTTAAAATTCTTTGTGCATTTTCTGAGAAACTATGTGGGAGAAAAAAGAAAGTAAAGGATAATGTAATTTTCTTCTATGGGTGATGTTCTTCTTTTCCTTTAACATCATAGGATTGGGAAAACAGTCAAATATTGACTGTTTGAGCACTAAATTGCTTGATGTTTGGGGGGATGTCTATTCTAATTAGAGCCCTAATACTTTGGACCAGATGTGAGAAACTATAACTACCCACCACAGCCTTTGGTGGCACGTTTTGCGCAGACAAACACCGCTCAGATTTTCTTTAGAAAATGTGACAACTACCTTCTTTACCCAAATTGCAATTTTTTCAGTTTGTACATTTAGCTTCGAATTTTTATTGAATATAAGTTTAAGAATGTTGGTATAAAAATACTTTGGCAGCGTAGAGCTGCACAGAGCTGCCAACACACACAGGCAGCAAGGCTTTTGTTGTGGTGTGATTGTTTGTGATGTGTGCTGAGAGCAGATATTGTTGTGCAGTGGGGCACAGCAGGGCAAGCAGCTATTGTTCAGGCTGGGTTTAAAAACACAAGCCTGGTTATCAATATCACACAGCCTCTCTTCAAGCGGTCTACTGTGGCTGACAACCCAGCACACCTCACTTTCAGACAGAATTTGGCCAATAGATTTACCATTTCTTCAAAGGTTCTTCTGCTGTTTACCGAAAGCATACTCATTTATTTGTTTGTTATAGGCCTGTTGACAACAACATGAATGATCAACCTGAAAATTTTATCCGATTTACGCATGTGATTTTTCTGTTCAGACCAATGCATAAAAAACAGGTGGGCTGAATGGTGAAATGCAGATTCACTCTCTGAAAGTAGGTGGCGCTTATAGAAAAGCAGAAAAGTTCTGGTTATTCCAGGACACAAAGCTATGTACCTTGTTTACGCCTGGCATTAAGATGCATTTTTGGTTGTTTTTTGACTGGAAACAAACACATTCCCATTTATACCTGTTTTTTTTATTTTTTAGTCTCTTTTGTCCACTTTTGACCACGTCTGTCCTGATATCTTTGAGGAGAGGGTCTATGAGCAGGTCTTATGTATGGGCTTCTGATCTAATATTGCAAAACAAACTTGTGCAAGCTACATAAAAATGTGAAAGGAGACAATGGAAAAGGATACGGAAAGCTTTGCCAAACTCTGTGGGTTTGTGTTAGAATCAGGACTAGTATAGTATAATATAACATTGTGATTTTAACTCTTTTTTTGCCTTCAAACCAAATTTACGATAAAGTTTAAATTTGTAATGTTTAGGAATTAGGTCAGTAGGCAGAGAGGAAGAGGTATTTTGTGGCTGTTCAAATGCATGAGGATTTACGAAAGCAATCCGAATGAATGCGTTTTCAAGTACCTCTGGAAGTGGTCAAAATTGAACAGGGTCAAAACATTTCATACCCCGTTTACACCTATATGTAGCGTTATCCACTTGTAATGAGATTGACAAAAACACATCTTGATACCAGGTGCAAACCGGGCCTTTCTGTTTCTGACACTCTCTGGTCACAGAGAAGAAAGTAGGTCAAACAGTATTTACATGTGTATATAAATGTAAGGGAAACAGGTCAATTTAGCTCAAAGGGAATCATTTATGATTTTTCATAGGGAATTTGGACAGAATCACAATTTTACGGCTGATCACTGAGTCGGCCAGCGATTCACTGAACGAGGCGTATAACATAAATTCTGCAATGGATATTAATATCCAAAGTATAGTGAAAACACTATTTATTAGCACAGTAACAAGATCGGCAGTTTAAGACATTAACTTGTAAGCACAAAACACAAGATACTTCTCTTTTCAATATAAATAAGGCAATTATTAGATAAATCTAAGACATATAAGCTAGTCTAACACCTAAACACACGCACTCACACATTCACACAAGTTGCAGGAAGAGAGAAAGTGAGGAAAGAATGAGTTTAAGAGAATGAAAATGTGAAATCCCAAGTTTACAGCAATATGTGCAATTGCATAGACCTGAACAACTATCAGTCACTTAATTAACCCTCAGATTGAGTTCCTCAATGAGGTTAAAATTTATATTAAATGCACCAGTTCAGCTAGAATCTGTAAATACTTGCGTTAACTGTGTAGGGGGGTTCCCTTTGTTGTGGTCCTTGCAGAAAAGGGTGTTTCCCGAGGTTGCTGATTGGCTGGAAGTTCAGTAGTCGTTGAAGTGACGTCTTGGGAAGCCAGTGGTTGGGTGTTGGCTGAAGACGCAGAGCTGTGGGCTGGTTGGAGTTTTGAGGCAGTCACAGACTCGAGGTGAACTAGATGGTTTTCTTCTCATCGTGGCTAAGTAGCAGCGGGCGTGCAGGCGGAAGCACGCTGAAATGGCGCTCGATGAATTCACGGGCAAAAAGCAGTGGCAAAAAGCTAGAAGCATACTTTGATGGTGTCCTGAGTATTTAAACTGGGCTTTTGAACACATCCCAAATCTTGTGTTGACCAATTAGACAATGTCTTAGCTTGGGGTGTTGTATGTTTCTCCTCCCAATACATAAATCAACATGTCATTTCATTAGTCACATGGTCCAAATTTTCCCACTCTTGCAGAGTATAATTTTGGACATGATTTCTATAACAAGAATATGATACATTTGACAAAGAATTTAAGAAGATTCAAACACACACATACTAACCATGAATATGAACCCTTAAGCTATTCAATAGTTATTAAAAAGACATACACAATAAGTGATTAGAACATGATAGTCAAATGTGTGGGTTACATACATGATATGGAGTTAAGCAATGATACTGATATAAAAAAGTCTTTTTTAGTTCATTTTGGTGCATCTACATCTGTAAAAGACAGTTTCTGTGCCATTCTGTGAACATAAGGACATGTTCTGTGAAGACCAGAGGTTAAAAGGTCTCATAAGGAATCTCAGTCTGATCTTTGTCTTCTAGGTGGGGGAAACCAATCCAAAGAGCTTGTGATCGTGATTACTATCACTGGTTCACATGTGATGGTCATGCTGTGCATCTCT